ACACACACAGGCGATTGGTATCCTGACCCCTGCACCAGCTTTGACATTGATACCCACACTATAAACAGGAAGCTTTGGGGGAAACAGAGCAGAGGGGAGAGGGAGAGGAATAAAAAAAAATCCCAAAGTAGTAAGATTACAAACCTTTAATGTCGTGCGATTGGCAAGCAGGCAGTCCAGTAGTACTGGTTCATATTTTTTCATCCAAGTATCCCAGTTATGGTCACTGGCAGTAAAGCTACTTTCATAGCCTGAGGTGACCGAAGAAACAGCAGATGCTGCATCTGAGGAGTCTGTAGAACATGAAAATGTTGCATCTGTATCTGAGAGAGAGACAGTTTCACAATCCTGTAGTTTATCATTCACTGTGGTCTCATTTTCATACTTCAAATCCTCACTGGGCCTTGAGAAGCAACGCAAAGCTCCTGAGTGCTCCTGAGCTACCTCCCTCTCTTCTAGTGTCTGCAGCTCTCCCGCAGTGCTGGGATGGGGAACATGCTCCCCAGTCAATGCGCCTTTAGCAGTGCTGACTCCAGAGCCCGAGTTCATGGAGAGCTGTATGAAGCTGAAGCTTGAACTAAAGCCATCGTGCAGACCAATGGAAAGAGAAGCAACTTCTTTTCTTTGATATTCACAGTTGTTATTCACTTCTGTCTCACCCAAAGAACACATGTTTTGGGGCTCGATTGCTTTAGCACTATGGGTTGCCTCTTGTGCATTTGAGCAGCATGCAGTAGAAACATTTCCTCCCTTTGTGGCTGTGGCAGAGTGAACTGCTGTAATTGGGATTTCGCTCTTCGGATTTTTGTAACCTGAAAGATTTTTGCAGCTTCCTGGCATATTTCCAGTAGTGGCTGATGTTGCTACCACATCAGAGGCGACTACAGCGCTATTTGCAAATGAATGACAGCATAAAAATTCAAAGTTATTTTTGCATTGCCTGCACGGAGAATGGTTTTCAAAGCCTTCACAATGTTTCCTGCCATGTTTGAGCTCTCCTGCATTCAGTGGCTTGCAGGCACTCAAGGGCTGAAACTCCGTCTGTTGCTGAGCCTCTGGCCTCATGTATCCAGGTCTTCTTGCCAGTTTCTTTTTGCGAACAGAGCCTGCAGGTATTAAGTGCTCCAAATCATCTAGAAAATGGAAAGAAAAAGTCATTAAAGCATTTCTGCAATTTTCTAGGCTTGGAATATTGTGGCATCAGAAAGGAGTTATTTTGGGAATTTCAGACGGTGCATCAGTTTCCTTTTCATCAAAGACACTGGCCACACTGCGCAAAGGGGAGAAAAGCTGCTATCACAGCACTCTCTATACTCATTCGCTTTCTAAAGAATTTGCATCAGTTTTTATGTGAATTCACCGATATAACTGTGTCCCTCAGGACACAAAACTGTGTATGATGAATCATGTTCTTTTCCCTATCCACAGTAGTTCTCTGTGATTCTTCATTCTCAACTCAGTTAGCAGCGTGATATGTTAGTGTGTCTGATCCAGAATGGTTTTCAGGCATATTAGCCCACCTAGCACAGAATTGAACCTCCATTAAGAAGAGGACAGCACCCGCAGAGAATTTTTGCATTTATCTATTTTTGCTCATGTCCAGTTTCACATTCAGATTCATACTTAATTAATACAAGCAAGATGTTTCAGAGCCTGCTTGCAGAAGAGAGGTGAATTTCTAGTGGAATGATGGATGTACAGCCACAGACTAAAAAGATATCTTATAATTTTTCACTTAGATTTACTGCATTAGTTGTTGGCTAAACATTGACACCACCATCATCCATTTTGTATCACAAAAACCTGG